ATTTATTTACTCTTATGAACTTTCATTACTTGTAAGATAAAAATCTGGATTAGTCCAAATGACTTTATTTCCTGAAAGAAGTACAGAAAAACTCAAAATTAAGAGATCATTATAGGCTTTTTTTTCCTTTTCTTTTCTCATAGTGTGTGAGACTAGCATTCTTATTATTTACAAGTAAACCAGGTCTCCCTTGCTGAAAAGGGAGAGGCTATTGTCCCCATGTCAATCTAAAACAAAAATCAACTAAGGTCTAATGAGGAAAGATGTGTACAGGAAGATTGCTAATGGAAAACTTGACTTTTTTTTGTAATAAATGTCAACTACACTGAAAAATACAAAGGAAACACAGTCATCAAACTATTTATGGCCCTTCCACATCTTAGACTGGTATCATTTACTTGTTCTGTGAGTTTAGGAAAGCTTTTTAAACTTCTCTTTGCCTCAGTTTCCTGATTTTGTTATGGTAAGGATAATAATAAGAGCTATCTGTTAGGGGTTACACGCAGAACACTTAGATCAATAGCTGGCATACAATGAATACTCTGAAAAGTACATTACTTTCCTACCTCCTCTCAACTAGAATGTCAGCTCACATGAGAGCAGGGGCTTTGTCTAATTTAGTTCTGCATCCTGACCATTTGTTTTGTCTATAGTAGACACTCAGTAAATATTTGTTGAAAGTAACAGGACTTTGAGATTGAAAATCAGGGAAAATTTGTCCTTGTCTAGTGTGGGTGAGATCCTGGGTTTGGTCCTCAGCATAGGGGGTGGAGGACCGTAAAAAAGTACTTGCCTAGAAGATTTGTCCTAAGTTTCAAAGCTAATGAAGGAAAAACAGATCTCAGTTTTGGGTTACTTAAGGCAGTAGGAAAGATCCCTAAACTAAGATGAGAACACCCAGATTCTAGATTAGATTCTTCTCTTTGGTTATTGGGACAAAGATTTTCTTTTTTCAGTTTGCAAAATGGGAATGATAGCTAAAGTATTCGGAGGATTAAATTAAAGGGTATGTGAAAGCTCACAATAAACTATAAAAACATGACATGTTCATTTTTATCTCAGTGACTTTGTCCATTGGATGACAATAAAATGATTCTTTGAGAGTACTGGAAGAAAGAATCTCTAGCTAAAGAGTTCAGTACTAAAAATATTCAACCCCAGAGGTACCACAGACATAGACTAATGTTTTCCATCTGTGCAGTTTAGGATAGATTTGGCACACACTCAATACCAGGCAAGAAAGAAACTATGGTTTAGGCTGCTTTTAAAGTTAAAAAAAAAGGGCAGAAAAGGAAACTATTTCCTTTTATAAGCATGAATGTTAAAATAGAGCCTTCATTGACTAATTCACTGAAGCAGACTATTTGATCCATATCCCTTCTCCCCTCAATCCCTATTTGTGCTCTGATTGATTAGTTGTTTTCATGTTTTATATATTATGGTCACTTCCTCCTCACCAAAGGAGAGAAAATATAGATTATTCTTAACCAGTCACATGTGACTCAGAGGTCAAAAGAACAGTTCTTTATTGGATAATCTCCCTAAATTACTAATGTTTTAGGACCTGGTTTTTAGAGCCAGGGGCTATTCAAAATATTATAACTTTAAGATTAGGCACCACCCAGAATGCCTCAACAGAGCCCAACTTTAAGGTTGAGAAACTGGCTTGAGGAAAAAGATAAAATTGTAGAGACAGCCATGGCGGGTGAGGAGTTGACTCACTGCCCCTTCCTTGAACTTTAGGAATGACAAGGTGGAAAGGGAAAATCAGGAAACAAAAACAACAAAAAAAACCAGCGCCCATACAGACCAGAGGTTCCATGTTCCATGAAAGACAAGAATTACATGGGTCCTTAGGGCAAAGGCAATACATATAATTTCCATGGTCAAGTTGTTACATGCCTCAAAGCAAGGAAATTATAGAGGAAAACTAAACTTGATTATACTTTATCAGAGCTATCACTAAATCTGATCATTTTATTCCCCTGCTTTAAATTTTCAATAACTCTACATTGGTCCTGAATAAAGTCTAAATTTATAATGGCATAGAATATTCATCAAACTTCCTTATTAATTTAATCTTCTAATTTCTTTCTTTCTTCTTTTGGTGGGACTTAACACTCTAGTGTTGAGTTTGAACTTGGGGCTTCACACTTGCAAAGCAGGCACTCTACTGCTTCAGCCATACCTTCAGTTATATTGCTCTGGTTATTTTGGTGATGGGGGACTCTTAAACTATTTGCCTGGGCTGGCCTCCAATCATGATCCTCCTGATGTCAAAATCCCAAACAGCTAGAATTTGAAGCGTGAACCACCAGTGCCTGGCCTGATTAATTTCTTAATACTTATCTTGGAAGGTATGGGAGACCACTTATAATTTCCCAAATAAGCAAGATACTTTAAAACACCAACCATGTGTTTACATTCTCATCCAAAATTCTTATCCCAGCTGACAAATTCCTGCACTTCACAGCCTGTCTTAAGTATCATTTCTTCTCTTTAGTTTTCTCAGCTCCCACTCTATCCTGCTACTCAGAATGATTGTTCTTTCATCTCTGGAGTCAGCACTTTAAGCATGCCTTTGTTAACTCACTCAACACAATGAATACATCCTCTCCCAAACTCACTGCATTCTGCCTGAAGTCAAGTGTGAGCAGCTCATTGTGCAATTCTTGCCACACTGCAGGAGAATAATACAGGTTTGTTGAATCAAATATTAAAGGATGACTAAAACATAGATGGATTTTCTAGGCCTAGGGATTATGCTAAATCTACATACATACATGATTCTGCTTTTGGTATTACCAGAGTGAATGCAATTTGCTTTTATTGAAAAACAGTGTCAGGAATACATTTATTTAGATAAAAACTTATCAATCCATTTACTACTTAAAATGGGCTTTCCTGTAACCCACTCAGCTAAAAGTTGCTGAGTAATTTGAAATATTGTCCATCTGGAGTGGAATCACATTTGGGGCTTGCTTCAATCAGTGCACCTCTGTCTCCATTTTGCTCTTCAAAGAGCCCCTCAGTCAACCGTGGCCTTTGAAGGCCTGAGCCAAACAGGAACCAGATGAACTCTATTGAATGTTAGCCTTGAATTCTAACATTCTCTACTCTAGTGTTAAACTTTTCACCTCTAACTGATCAAGTTAACTAAAGAAATATAATGTTCTATCAACTCATTATTTTTGCTTATCCATATGCCCAACTTGATTCCAGAAGAACAAGAATTTAAGAGAGGCTAAAGAAAAAAAATCCAAAACCAAATCATTCCATTTCATTCCTTTCGTACCTTGGATGACCTCTGCCAGTGCTGTTCATCAGTGTGAAAGACTCTTGGAAACGTTTTTTAGGTGTTAGTAACAACATTTCCTGAAACACCTTTTATTTTAGCTTACCAAAAATGATTCTGTCAGTGCCTAGAGGTCACTTTGGTCCTAAGACCAAGCAAACTGGAGTTTGTTCAACTTTTAAATTTGTCAATTCTGCCCTCACCTAGGTTACATAACAGTGTAGTTAGCCACCTAGCTAAGTCAGATTGTGACTAATTCATGTCTGGTGGTGCTCTGGGGGTACAGCATGAAGATTAGCAGTGGGAAGTTCTGGAGTCAGTCTGTCTGAGTTTGAATTGGACCAGTTATGTGATCTCAGACAAGTTACTTAATCTCTCTATGTTTCACCTGCTTTATCAGTTAAGAAAAAGAATAATGGTGGCTAATTCATGGGTTTGTTGTACAGCACAAGGGAGTTAGATCACTAAAGCACTAAGAACAGGATTGGCACATGGTCAATAGTCAATAAACACTATCCCTTTTATTCCGTACTTTACATACTATCTCTCTAAGATAAGTGGGTATAATAAAAAATTAAAGGAAAGAATAGTCATTTTTAGAACCAACTTTATTTACAAAACCACAACTCAGTTTCCTTTGGTATCATTATTGACAAAATGCCTACAACCAACATATTAACTAAGGAGATACATTGATTTCAGCTTTACATAAAACCAGAATCCAACACTGCCCCAATTTCCTATTCCTATGTGGCTCTGAATTCAGCTTAAAAATGAAAAAGAAAAACTCTTTACAATGGCTTAAGCCATTTTAGGGTTTTTTTTTTTTTTTTCCTATTTTAGGGTTTGGATCAAGACTACTCATCTACTTTGCTATTTATAGAGAAAGCCCTAGGGAATGGGATAACAAAGATGAAGGTTTAGTTTATCAGGCTTTCATAATACAATATCCATAATGTTTTTTTAAAAATATAAATAAATAATACTGGCAAACAGTATATATTGATAATTTTCTGACAAACTCATTTATCTAACATCATGTCAAGGAATCAAAAGATTCCTCTATATATTTAAAATTTTAATTTATTCTGTATGCTGGTTCACAAAGTCTTGCTCCATGCTAAAGGAGTTATCACCAGTATAACATATGCTAACCAGTCCCATGAAAACCTAACAGCCAGCTCTTTCTTTTTAATCCACTGTTAATACTCAGTTGAGTTTGATATATGTGTGGCTGATAAATGACTGAGTACTAATGTTTTCATTCAGGAATGTAAAATCAATGGTAACTGGCATCAAGTTGTAAGAAAAACTTACAGATTGGGAGGTAGCAAAGTGAGATGTGAAAGAATCTTCTATCTGAAGTTAAGAATACACCTACACTGGCTTCAGAGGTGAGGAGAGAAACCAGAAGAAGAAAAAGAAAAAACTTCGTTGACTTAAATTAAACTGAGGTAATTAATTTGAGACAGCAAATAAATAAATCAGCAAATGCCCATTTTTGCTTTCCAAGAAGAAGGAGGAGGAAGAAGAGGAGGAGGAGAAAGAAAAGATGAAAAAAACAAAGAAAAAAGGAAGGAAGGAAGGACAGGAAAGAAAGAAAGAAAGCAATCACTGGCAAATCCTAATTTAGCAATTTTAAAGTTGATCCATTCAAATATTTTTAAATAGGAAAAGGTTACTATAAAAATATTATATATCACATTCATCGAATACACTCTTCTGCTGAAACATCTAACACATCTTCATCTGTACTCTCTTCTATCTCTGGCAAGTTGCCCCAAAGTAGGAAGTTTATACCTGAAAATAAAAGGTCATAAAGTTCTTTAGTGCTCACTACTGTTATAATTGAGGACATGATATATAAAACTTTAGACTAAGATTTATATATAAACCATGGTGTTAGCAATGAAGAGGACAGCTATGAAAGGGTGTATTACAAATAAAATTATTTACTTTATCCATCTAGGACATAACCATTCTTTAAGCCATTTTAAAGAAGAGCTTGAATTTTAAAATCTTAAAACTCAAAAGCATCTCAGGAATTCATCTACTTAAACCCCATTTCCAGGTACATTATGCTGTGATCACTCTACACTGAAATTTTCTTATCTATTTTAATGACCTTTAAGATAAAGATCTCATGCAACCAGGTGCCAGTGGCTTATGCCTATAATCCTAGCTATTTGGGATGCTTAAATCAGGAGGTTCATGTTTGAGGCCAGCCCAGGCAAACAGTTTGAGAAACCCCATCTCTAAAATAATCAGAGCAAAATGGACTGGAGGTTTGGCTTAAGCAGTAGAGTCCCTGAGTTCAAACCCCAGTCCCACCAAAAAAAAAAAAAAAAAAAGATAAAGCTCTCATAAGATTCTTTTAGACTAAATGTCTCTCTAGAGAGTACAGGGAGGTCCTGCAAAAGTCTCCTCATTTCTTCAATAAGCATAATAGTAGCTGGTCCCATTTTTCTGATTTAAAATAAGGCAAGATTTTGGAGCCTTGAAGTAGGTGAGCTACAGGATAGAGGCTGTCTAGGCAGAGCTGTAAACTTTAGGATCACATAATAGCAGTCAGTATAACAAAATAACAATCTAAAATCTCATTGAGAAAGAATAGCAAATTTCATGTGGAAGAATCCAGCATAGGCATATAGCACAGGACCAAACATATTGAGGATAAAGAGGCATTTTATTCTGGTATGCACTTACTGTATTATGGCTTAAAGGTACTAAATTGGAAAAAGAATTGACTTCTAGGAGAGCCAATGAAGTTCAATGAGAAAAGCAAATCTCAATCTGTTCAGTTTTCAGTGTGGGCATGTGGAAGACTCAGTAACTGAATACCCACTTGACACCAAGATAGCGGCCACATGGTAGAATGAAATGAGCCAGGGTTTGGAGATTGGTTTGAATTAAATTTCTAACACTACCAGTACTCCATGGATGGTTTTTCTACAAATGTATGCAACTACAGACAATACATACTGTTTTGCGTATTAAAAAATTTTAAAGAATGTTACTATACTATAGGAGGTTTACCTTTTTTGAACCTTGTTGATTTTGCTCATTTACTTCTAATTCTGTAGAGGATTCCATAGTGTGAATTTTAAAAAATTATTGCGGATATAGCCTATCAGTCATCCCTTCCTCTAACTGTCCATCTTGCTCATAGACACCAAAGAAGACATGATAAAGATGTGTGTTACATTGTTGAAACAATAGGAATAGGAATAATAACTGTGTATCTTGTTTGAGAGAGATACCACAACCTAATCAGACAAGAAGTTAGCAATTATTTTATGCTATTGGGTATATAGATGTCTATCATATTATTTCCTATATATTTTTTTGTGTTCTAACTGCTTACTATAAAAAAATACTTTTCCATCCCCACCCCCAAGAATGAATAGTGATCTGCTTCTGGTAATGTGGCATTGAGGATCTGACAGGATTAAAGGAATTGCTTGGTGAACTTAAGTGAAAATCAGAACCCACAAAGGTAAATGAAGAGCTGAAGTCACTTGGCCTGTGGGGACATTTGCTCAGGTTCTAGGGAATTACAGCTGACATTTTCTAAGCCTCTTGAGAAAGTTCTCAGAAATCAGATCAATATGTAAAAGCTAGCCTAGAATACACACATCCTGGGGTCCTTTTTAGTCAAAACATTCTAGAATTTTATAAAACTTGGGCATGTATTCCTTTGATGTTACTGATTCAGGTGATTCAAGGACAGTTTCAAATCCATTAGAAACCCTCTTATATCAGGCACCTAGAAATCTTACTTTAAACAACAACATTAGGGTTACAAAGGAGAAGCTTGATATCCTTAGAGTCGATACTCAAGACCCACGAAGCAGCCCAGCACAATTGGTTCAAAGGAGAAAAAATAAACTAGGAGATTGAATCTGACAGAAGCGCCACCTTCCTTTCTCTGTTAAGAAAGGAGGAAGGAAATCCTGTGATACATCTGTTTCTCATGGATTAGATTCAGGCAAATGGAAGAATGCTGGGCTTTTATCTTTGAAAAATTGACCAATATTAAAAAGAAATCAAAACTGAAAAATCTCCACCCTGTGTTTTGAATCCTATGAAGCAGGAAAACCAGCATCAAAGCAGAAACTTCCTGTAATGTATCCCATGAGCCTCACAAATACAAAACTAAAGGCCTTAAGTTAAGAGCCTATATCTCACTTAGGGGAGCCCAGAGAAGTCCTTGCTTGAAAACGGCTATCTTAACATACAGAGTCTTAAATTAAAATTCTCAAATGATAAATCAAGAGCCCCACTTGAGTCCCAGGTGATAAAAAAAAAAAATCAGTCTATAAAAACCCAAGCAAAATTTGAGGGTTTAAAAACCCTGACAACCTAGCTTGCAATTATGATCTTTTGGTCTGTGAAGGCAAATCATATTTTAAAAAAAAGAATATATTTTAAGTTCCAAAGAAGAAACACACATTTAAAAACCCAAGAGTAATAGTGCCAAATTAGATTGTCAAGTTCCTTAATGTCAACTTGGTGTGTCATTTAAATACATATTAGTCATTGAGAACATGTGTCCTATAACAAAACTAAATAGCTTCAGACAATATAAAAGGTACTATACATATACCCTTAAGAATTGATAGTAAATTTTCTTACTAAAATAATTACTACAACCTACTGTGACTAAAATTCTATCATACCTTGTTAATACAGATGTCAAAACGTCTGTTTTTGTGAGGAACTCTCTACTGTCCCTTCCTTTCTCCTTTCTTACACACACACACACACACACACACACATTTGACTATCATATCTAAAATCTTCACAAATTAAGAGTGGCTCAAGTGGTAGAGAACCTGTTTTATAAGAGTGAAGTCCTGAGTTCAAACTCCAGACCCACCAAAAAAAAATTAGGAAAAATTATCTGGAGTTGGAATATGTATCAAGGTGTAGTTTAGAGCAATAAAATATCAATTTAAGCTGGATGCCAGTATCTCATGCCTGTAATCCTAGCTATTTGGGAGGCTGAGATCTGGAGGATTGACATTCAAGGTCAACCCAGGTAAATAGTTCAAGAGGCCCTATTGCCAAAATAACCAGAGCAAAGTGGACTGGAGGTGTGGTTTACACGGTAGAGTGCCTGCTTTGCAATCATGAAGCCCTGAGTTCAAACATCAGTCCTACAAATACACACACACACACACACACACACACACACACACATTAAAAAAGACCAAGAAGTTAGGTGTGGTAGTACGTGCCTATAATCCCAGCATTTGTGAAATGGAGTTAGGAAGATGGTAAGTTTGAGGCCAGCCTAGGCTACATAGCTAAACACTGTCTCAAAAACAAATGAACAAAACAAATTGCTCACTCCCTACACACACAAAATGAAACAAACAAATGAACTAACAAAATCCCAAAACAGAGAAAAGAATACAATTAAGTTTGAAGCCCTTAAATACAATGATGAACATAGAAATGGCAATGAATGTTGGCTAATAGCTTTCATAAGCAAATGTCTGGGGAAAAAGGGATTGATGTTTCACTCTAGCTGATACGATCTAGCTGTGAAGTTCTTGGAGGAATCCTGAGATGGATCTATTGGGAATTCCACTCATGTAATGATAGATAAATGTCACAGAAGCTCTGAGTCAATGGTTTCTTACCAGTGGAGTCTAGTCTGTTAATACCATAAACTGCTTGGCTATGAAACATCCAGAAGTGTCCGTTGTTGCAGGAAAGAAGGCAGGAACTACACGGAACAACCACATGGTACCCTACAATGTTCCCACTAAAAAAGAAAGTGAACATTATTAGTTATATGTAATACCTGGTCCAGAGCAGCATTTTATATGCTAATGTAAAAAAAGCATGTGAATTAGACTCCATTTCTTCCAAACAACCCCCACTGCTAGAATTTTTGGAATGAGAGTTATTCTGATAAAGGTCACGGTTCTACCATCAAGTGGGAGCACAGTCTGTAAGTTACGTGAAAAAATATTAACCTATTCTTGCATTACTTTGCTAGGATTTTTTTTGAATTTTCCATTTGGATGCTAGCTTCTGAATGGTGATTTGTTCTGTAAAGAACAAATAGAAGAGCCTGGGGGTGTGGCTCTGGGATAGAGCGCCTGCCTAGCAAGTGCAAGGCCCTGAGTTCAAACCCTAATATGAGAGAAAGAGAGAGAGAACAAATAGACAGTTGTGATTTGTTCTGTAAAGTACCCAAAATTAATGTGCTATACAGACAAAATTAATTAAGTAAACTCCTATCTGTTGGTAAAGGATTTTTCTATCCTCAGGACTGTGGCAAGGTGGGTTCTTATATGTTCTAGTTCCATGCCAGCACCTAAAAACTGTTTCGACAGATGGAAGAGTAGGAAGACAGCATGAGTCTTTGTAAACTAAATACAAGCTGGCTGCTCTAATTTTAGTTTCAGTGTTTTTGAAGGAATTCAGAAATAAAGCAAATGCCCAGCTTTTAGAGAAAGTTGAAAAAGTTTTTACTGTCTTCAATACTATCCAACTGGTTAGAAGTATCTCACTCTTGCACATTTAAAAAAATTTTTACTAGCTAGTCACATGTTAAGTGGAGTGAATCAAAGGGAATGTTTTAGTTAGTACTTTTTTTAAAATGGCAACTTGGAGTTGTAAAAATTCTTACTATAGCTTGGTCTCACCCTGTGATGGGGGAAGTCTCACTTTTGTGGAACTATATAAAGAATACTAAAAGGTACCATCCCTCCTACAATATGTCTTCTAATCATAACCTGCTTAAAAGGAAAGTAAATAAAAATAAAGTTGTTCTTAGATTAGGATTTACAGTTATTTGTAAGGTTATATTGCAAGAGTAAATTCTATGGCTCTAGTTACCACCAGATTCATTCATTTATTCATTTATCTACTCACTCAACTAATAATATTTACTGAGTATCTAACATATGCCAGGTATGTTCTGGGTACTGTGACTAGAATCTTGCAGTGGACAAAACTGCTTCCTTGTTAAAACCCCTTCAATGGATTCCCATTGGTCAAAAATTAAAATAAAAACCCATCCACACCAAGATCTAGATCTGTGCGGTCTGAACAATAGCCATGAGTCACACGTGGTTATTGGGCACTTGAAATGTGGCTGACCTGAATTGAGATGCACTGTAAGTATAAAACCTATACCAGATTTCAAAGACTAAGAACAAAACATATAACATACAAGAGCTTATTGATAATTTATATTTGTTATATGTTGAAATGATACTTTTAACATATCAGGCCACATAAAATATGTAATTAAAATTAAATTCACTTGTTTCTTTCAACTTCTAAAAATGTTACTAACAACTATGAATTACATTGTGCCTTCAGTATTTCTATTGGACAACACTGCTCTAGATTATCTGGGTTCTGATTATATCTCTAACCTACTCATAGCATTCTCTACCCCCATGCTCACATCTCAGCCACACTGGCTATCATCTTTTTATTCCTTAAAAATGTTAAGCTTCCTCTTACCATGGGTTCTTTGCATTTGCTATTCTATTCCCTCTGCCTAGAACATCTTTCCTCTGGCTCTTTCTCTCCTTTAGGGCTCAACTCCAATGTTATATCTTTATGAGGTGGCTTCCCTGATCATCTAAAACAACTCTCACTCACGTTTCCAACTTTCTGTCATTTTCTATCACTTACTATTATTTTCTTTGGAGTACTTCTCACTATATTAAATGTCTTATTTATTTAAATATAATATTGACTGATCACATTCCCATTAGAATATTCTGTTCAAAGGCTAGCAACTATATCTCATTTTACTGTGTTTCTGTATCCCTATAACAATGACTAGCACATGGTAGGTCCTCTGTATAAGTATAGTTTGGATGAATGAATTCAAATAGTCACTAACACATAACAGTTTACTGAATTAAATGATTAGGATTGTAATCTATAATCCAAGCTCCATTTAAATAAGAAAATTTCAACTGTATTCTTTCCATAATGGGGATAACACAAATCTATCTACCTCTCAAAAGATAATTGGAACAGCTCTCATCTATATTTTACTTATAGTTTATTAAGTCTTTTAATTCACTTTATTATTAATTTAATCTTCACAGCAACTTTAGCAGGTAAATACAGAAGTCTTTAATTTCTATCTTATTAAATAGAAATTTTAATTCTTAATAAGATAGAAATAAAAAACCCCAGCATAGTGGTATGGGTCTATAATCCCAGCACCTGGGAAGTTGAATCAGGAGGATCATGAATTTGAGGCCTACCTGGGCTATATAGAGAGACACTATCTTAAAAAAGAAAGAAGAAGAAGAAAGAAGAAGAAGAAGAAGAAGAGGAGGAGGAGGAGGAGGAGGAGGAGGAGGAGGAGGAGAAGAGAAGAAGAAGAAGAAGAAGAAGAAGAAGAAGAAGAAGAAGAAAAGAAGAAGAAGAAGAAGAAGAAGAAGAAAGATAGAAATTAAAGAAGAAAACAGTTTCAGTGGTTTAGAGGCTTAAGGCGTTTTCTCAAGACCACCTAGAGAGTAAGGATAAAATCTGATTTTTATGACTATAAATCCTAGTGTTTTTCTCCCAGCTTGCATTGTCTTATTTTGATTTAAAAGGAAAAAAAAAAAGCAGATACCAGTGAGTGCACTTTGAAAAATTACAAAATCATAACAAATGTGAATTATCACAAGACCCTTTTAAAAACTATCTGTAAGTAACAAATGGTTTTTCAATGGCTCATTGCATAGGTTATATCAGTGCCCGTTACGGCCCACTGAACCTTTCTCTGTGCTTTGGTGTCAACATCCATCTTCTGAACCCAAGCTATCTAGAATATTGTCACAAATTACCATTTTAAACATGCTATGTCCTTCAGTTTACATTTGCAGATTTCGGTGAAATAGCATCGTCCAATGAAGTCCACTGTACTGCAGGATGAAAAAGTTTATAGACAGTCAAATATACTTAAATTTTTTAAATATATATTTAAATTTTTGTGGCAAAAATGAAAAATTTACCATTTTAATTTTTACATATATACAGTTCAAAAGTATTAAATATAGTCACATTATTGTGCAATGAATCTCCAGATCTTTTTTATATTGCAAAATTGAAACTCTATACTTATTACATAACAACTCCCTATTCCCCCCTCACCCAGATCCTAGCTACCACTATTCTACTTTCTGTTTCTATGATTGAATTTGACTACTTTAGAAACTTCATGTAAGTGGAATCATAAAGTATTCATCCTTTTTTTGTGACTAGTTTATTTCACTTAGCATATCTTCAGGGTTTATTTACATTGTGGCATGATTTCCTTCCTTTTAAGACTGAATAATATGCTATTGTGTGTGTGTGTGTGTGTGTGTTACATTTTGTTTATCCATTTATCAGTTGAATCAATGGGTATTGACATTATTTCTATCTCCTGGCTACTTTAAATAATGCTGCTATGAACATGAGTGTGCAAATATCTCAAGGTGCTAATTTGAGTTCTTTTGGATATACACCAGAAGTAGAACTATAGGTCAAATGGTAATTCTGTGTTTAATTTTTAAAGGAAATACCATACTATTTTCTATAGCAGCTATACCATTTTACATTCCCACAGTATACAGTGTCCTAATTTCTCTACAGACTCATCACCAAATGTAGTTTTGTGATTTGGCACAAATTTTGTAAATTCAAAGAAATGAAGGAGATTCTAAAGTAGAACTGGGGATGTGGCTCAAGTGGTAGAGCACCTGCCTTGCAAGAACAAATCCCTGAGTTCAAACTCCAGTACTCCTAAAAAAAAAAAAAAGGTAAAACTATAGTATATTTTGTAAGAATCAGTTAATATTCATGAGCTCACCACACCCATCTGGAAACATAAAAACTCCTATGTTTATTGATTCACACACATCTTAGCACATTAATCCATTGCTATTATAACGTCAATAAAGAATAAATAGAGAAGACCTGATTATAGTTAGACTATAACAATTCGTTTCCTATGAGTCCTATGATTGCCTGTTACTTACCACAGCTATTATAAAGATGAATGGGTTAATATTTTAAATTTGTGAGAGTATGTGCTACTAAAAAGGAAAAGGACTAGGCAATAAATCATAGAACATTTGCAACACTAGGTTCTATGATTTATAGTCTCGTGTTTTTCTTTTTGTACCACCCAGGTGCACTCACACACAAACTTAAAATATTAACCCATATATCTCTGCAATAAATGGGGGAGGCTTTGGTTTTGCAATTAGGCATAACAACACTTAAGCCAGTTCACAAAAGATATCAAGGGAGGAAGATTCTACAGCTTTTATTTGGGAATATTTAAAAATTTTCAAAGTTTCTATCAGTATCTTAAAATCTAGAATTTTAAGGGAATTACGGCTATTAGTCTGGTTCCTTCCAAATGTGTGTCCAAAGACTTGAATAGCCGTTCATTCATATTTTGAATAACCATTTTCATTTTAATAGTGAACTTTCAATAAAGAACACAATCTTAACACCCTTTAGAGTTAGATAAAGGTATAATTGAGTCAAATGAAATGGCTATTTAACCAAATAGAAAGCAAATTTTAAGGACTATACTTTTGCAGAGTCCTTGAAAACAGATTTTAAAGGATTCAAATATGCAAACTGATGTGTAATATGCAAAATAGGTTTTATGGGAATAAGAATCATCTTCAGGCTAAGTCTTTTTTTCATCTCATCAATACCCAAGTCTTTCTCATTGAGGGGGAGGGGAAGGGAGCGACTAGAGGAGAGGAGGAGGAGGAGGAGGAGAGAACCCAGAAGAGCAGAGGGAGATGGGAAAGAGAGAGAGGACAGGAATGAAGGGGAAGAGAGGGGAGGGGAAGGGGGGGAGAGCAGAGGAGAGATTGAGAAAAGAATATAGTATTCCATGGACAATGGAGCTGATTCAGCATGTTAATTGCAGAGAATGGTAGGAAAGTATGAAAGGTTTTTGGTGTAAAACTTTAGGGGTAAATACCTGACTTACATGACTTCATCCCTTCAAGAGTGCAGAAACTCCTGAATTTACCTCTAGTCTAGGTTGTGCACTTGATTCAGTAAGATAGAAAGGTTGGGCAGGGCACTATGCCAGGGATCCAACTTAAGGGATGAGTGGTCACGTGACTGCAATTGAACTAGAAGCATTACATCAGTACTGACCACTTTGGCTAAACCACAGACTTTGTCCAGACAGTCTGTCCACTTAGATTTACTCCAAGGGGGTCATCAGACTGTTGGGAGTGACTGGAACACCAAATGATAATCTCCTTGTTGACTCTCAGAGATCCAAGCTGCACACTCCCCATTTGTTAACGGCTACCGTTGCCCCCACTAGCTTGACTTACTTGGTAGGAGGGATGTCTGTAGAGAAAAGGTCTATGTCAGTATCAGCCAGCAAGACAGCCTTCATCCCCCTAGAGCTGAGCACTTGCGTACAGAATTTGCAACACAGGATGGACACGCATCGGTCCTTGAAAGTACAACTGCTGGTAGACATAGCGTCCCACGAAGGATGAAAAAGGGAGTAAGAGCAACACTCTTCCTACTGTGATTTCCCCAGAATAAAAAAAATCAAATCGCGAGGCCTCGAGGTCTTCTAAGCCCCAAAGTGGGAAGGGGAAAAAAAAAAAAAAAGGTCTTTGCTGTTTTCCCGGGGGGCTGGTAAAAGTAGTATTTATTGAGTGGGAATGGGGTGGGGTGGGGGAAGCAGCAAATTTGGCTTCCTTTAAACTTGCGGAGAAGGGAGTAGAGTTTGGTGCGGAGGAGACACGTGGAGTTTGAAGGGAAACGTCCCAACAGCGTTCCCTTTCTGCTATCTGACGGGTCCTTTCCGGAACTCCCGGATTTAAAGCCTCTCCCCGCTGATGATGTCCCACGGCCCGCTTAGCCCCTCCCGCAGAGCGCTCCGACTCCCGCCTCGGGCTCCACGCCTCCTATTCCCGGGATGCAGAAGCCCCGAGCTCGCTCCACGGGGACAGCCCCTCGCTCTCTTCAGCCACCCCCCTTTCTCCCGCGACCCTGCGGGGCTCCGCCGCGGGCCCCTCTCCCCGCACTCAGCGTGCTCGCGCCGTTTCCCCCGCTCAGCTCTCGGTCCCCTCAGGTCTTTCCCGCAGCGGTGGTGTGGATGGGGTGGGGGCACAAGTCGCTTATTAGGCTCAGTCGGCGCTGGAGTCTGTCACTGAACACGTCGGGTTTTTTTCCTCCCTCTTCCGCCTTCTCTGCCTTTCCAACCGGCTGTCAGTTTGAATTGCCAGCGTCGCGCACCGATTGGGAGAACGAGAGTTCGCCCACGTTCCGCATTGGAAGGCCGAGGGGCCTGCCCCTGACAAGCGCTCAAGAGGCGTGGAGACCGCATGCCCCGCCCCAGTAACGGTGCCCTGGTCAGCTCGGCTTTCTGGTTGGCTGGGTTTGGCCCCGCCTCCGAGCTCACTGGACGGCCTCCGGGTCCTGGCAAACTCTTCTCCCATCTTGGTGAAAAAAAAAAAAAAAACGGCAAGGCACGCCTCTTCACGCTTCTGATTGGAAAATGTTCCATAGTCTGCCGGCCTCTACTCTCTATTGGCTCAAATTCCCCGCAACTCCCCTCCCCTCTTCTCCTGTCCAATTGGTCGTGCCTTCTCTTAAGAGTTTGTGTTTGGCTGTTGGTTCCATTTTATCCCGCCCCCCAAGTTCTACATTAGGGACCGACAGGAGAAGGAGGAGCTTATTCTGGAACCACGCCTCGGCAGTGAGTGCTGGCCACACCTCTAAGTTTTGTTGGCTCCGCCCCCTTCCCCTGGCCTCTCGGGATCCGCTATTCCTATTGGCTGGAGGCCCCATCGGTCGATAGAAAGTGGACGGTGATTGGCAAGGGGGTGGGCTCTGCTTCTCGGCGGGGTCCTGCGGAGTTGGCGGAGGCTCCTCAGGGGACTGGGGGGCTGATCTGCGTAGAAGCGGGTGGCGGGGAGGAGAGGGGAGGAGAGCTCTGAGTGGGAAGCCGAGCCCGGGGCCTGGGACCCATCGCGTCAGAGCCAGGTAAAGGCTCCTTCCCTCTCCCCTTTCTTCCCGACCACCAGGCTGGAGCCCTTACAGAAACAAACCCTGGCTGGGGCGGGAAGGAGAGGGCGCGGATGCTGCTAGCGGTGCCGCCCGCCCGGAGTCGCCCAGACAGCCCCTCCACCCCACCCCCGCCTCCGACCCTCTCCAATCTCCCAGTGCAGCCCATAATACTTCTCAGGACTGCGTGTCTCCCCTCCCATCACCGCACTGCCTGGGACTCTATCCTGGCTCACATACCGCAGTGCAGCCCGCACCCAGACCCCACCCCGGCTCTCAGTCCATGGCCAGCCCGGGTCCACCTTTGGGCCACCGTCGTTGGCATCGCCTGTGACCATTCTCTGGCCTCTTTCCCTGCCTTCAAGCCCTGGCGGACAGCCCAGGTCACAGCCTAGGACCCAGAGGATGGGTGTTACGCACAGCTTCCGGGGCTCTTTCCCTGTCCACCCCCTAACCCGCCTAGAAGGGCTCCTCGTCACCCACTCCAATCTCCAGATCCGCATCTCGGTGTCCAAAGTTACCAACACCCTTGCACTTCCTATAACATCGCAGTCCACCATAATCTCCTAACTGCCCCTCGTCCCCCAAGCCATCTTCTCCTTGTCCTCTTCCCTCCTGCCTAGCTTGTGCCGCTCCGGTTGTCCCTGGGCTCCTGTCCAGACGCAGGACCCCACCTCACACCCGCCTACCCGCTTCCTGCTCGCCTGAACCACGCTGCCTCTGCTCCTTCTCTTCCTCCCTCTGTGCACCCCTTCCTTCCTCCAGCCGCGGGAATTGGGAGACACTAGCGGGAGCCTCCTTCTTCCAGCGCCTAGAGGGAAAGGGGCGACCAAGGAGGGAGGATCTCCGCTGCGGCGCGCCGGGGAGCAGGACGCCGGGCTTTGCGTTTCCCTCCCGCCTCCCCGGCCTTAACTGGGGCGGGATCTCCTCGGGCATCTCCTGGTCGACCCTCTTCGGCCTCTTCCCACCCCAGACTGGGCTTGGGTGTGGTATCTGGGATCCCTGGGCTTGGGTGACAAAAAATATTGGGGGTGGCACTTATAGTCACGCTTGTCCCTACCGTGGGGGGAGGTGACCACTGCCTTCCGCTCCCCATCCCCCGGTTTTCCTAGTTCCGACCCTCGCCTCTAAGCGGTTTCCTGCTTCTGCCGACCGCATTGTTTTCCTGGATGTGTCCCGTGCCGAGCAGGCTTTTTCCTGAAGATCTCTCCGCCTCCCCCCCACCAAACATTTTGCTGCCAAGAGAAGCTAGTAACCAAAAACAAAACAACTGAGAGGAGGGGAGGGAGGGAAAGAAAAGTTGTACCCGGGTGGCTTGTCCTTCCCCGACTTTGATCCCCTTTGATGTCCAGGGAGGTGCCCCAACCAGGGGTCAGGGGCAGCGTCGGGGGCCGGGCCGGGAGGGCCCCCTTGGGCTGGCGGCTGCCCAGCGCTGGCGGGTTCGGGAAGCCGCCGAGGTGCCGCAGTCCCCGCCCGGAGCTCCGCGTTCCCGCCGCAGTCTCCGCCCGGAGCCCGCGCAGGCGACTGCTCCAAAGTGTTTTCTTTCAGCCTTAAAACAAAATCCAGAGGGAGCTTCCTTCCTTCCCACCTCGCTGCGCGGGGCACTTCTGGCCGGGCTGCGTTGGGCGGAGATGAATGGGCCAAGGCCCGGCTTGGAGCTACGTCCCCTACCCCACCCCCGCTGCGATTGGGATCAGCTCTGGGGCTGATCTCCCCCTCCCCCTTTTCCTGCATTTACAGGCAAGTGAACCGGAGCAAACGACTTCCGATCCAGTCCGCGCTGCTGCGGCTCCCGTTTGGAATTTGATTTGTAGCATCTTCGAGCCTGTACGACAAAAAACCGCGAAGCACGCCCAGCCCTCCCCGGCACCCCGATACAAACCCACTCCCTCCCGGGGACACAGCTGGGCGCGTCCACACCCCCGCACCCCCCACACCATGTTGTGCGGAAGGACTTCCACTCCCCGCCTGTGTCGTTGATGTCAGACCCCAGGCTAGCCTCCCGGCGCTGCAGTTCTCCTGGCTAATGCTGAGGCTGTGGCTCCCGCTCTAGCACAGGAACCAGACGCCGCCGCTCCCGGCCCCAGCGCCCACCGTCTGCATGTGCCCGCCTTAGCCGCCTGTCCAGCCCGCAGCCCGCGCTCCCCGGAACGCTGGAGACCACCGCGGGGGGCCCTTTCTGCCCTTGGGAGAAGCGGTCTTGGAGGTATTGATTTCGGTGGTTGGATTTTTCCCTTGGATCTATCAGTTCACAATTTGGATTTGGAAGAAAGAAGGAAATCATGACGTCTCCAGCCAAATTCAAAAAGGATAAGGAGATCATAGCAGAGTACGATACTCAGGTCAAAGGTAAGGGTTTTGAAAAATGGAATAATGTATATGTGCTTTGGACTGGTGAGACGTGTATTTCAATCCTGATTTGCAGGCTGTTCATTTCTTTGGGTGGAGCAGGTGGGGGCAGGCTCACCCCAAAGGTGGTTTCATAGGTGGGTGTGAGCCTCGAAAGGATGTGCAGTGCCAGGGGCCACAGGCACTGGAAAAGAATTTTCGGAGTAGGCTTTAGGAGTGTTTTTGTGTGGCTGGTCATTATTTTGGTAGCCTTTTCCCCCAGGCTTGACGGGAGGGGGAGGGGCAGAAGGTTCTTGGATAGAGAAAGGCGGCAATTCTCCTACTCTGTGTGGGTCAAGTCTTCTCAAAGGACTGCTGAAATCTGACAGGTGTTTGGACATTTATTTCAGAGGTTGAAGAGTCCAGACAGAAAAGCAACCTTGAGAAGGTGTAGCATTTGGAGAGCCCTGGGAGAGGCGGGGTTTTTTCTGATGCACTATAAGTAAAAGCATGAGTATTTGCTATGGCATTGGACACAGAAAGTCCATAGCCATCTTGGGTGCATCTTGTACTTGATCTCTGGTCACCCTGCATACAATCAGAGATCACAGAACAGAAAGAATAGTCCACCCACGCTGGGTCTCTGCCCTCACCTAACCTGAATGGAGTTGGGATGTTGGGGTTTCAGAGTGGTGCTGATGCTGGAAAATGGGAAGACATAATTGTTTAACCCTCTGTGTTGTGACCCTGTGCTTCAGAGCTCATGCTTTTAAAGACCCATTTCCCTCTCTGCAAAAATGTGAAGGGTAAAGCAAAATGTAGACCTGGAGAAACCAAGCGACCTGTCTCCCATCTAGTCTACCTTCTGACTTGGCTGGTCAATCAGAGCCCATCCCCAAATAGCCTTTCCTTACCCAGCATTTCCCTTAGTAGGGATTCCTGCCTGTGAAAGAGCCCTAGCATGTGTTTGTGCAAGATACTCTCCCCTTCTGACCAGTCACTAGAAAGAGCCATGTGGCTGTTGTCCATTGAGATCTTAGAGGGAAGTGGGAGAGGTGGGTGGCCTTGAATGTTACACCACATGGTTGGAGCTCTGGGTTTTCCTTTGTTTCAGAGTACAGAGGGAGGGGCCCCTCCTTTCCCTGCACCAATGCAAGGAGACCTTTTCATATCATAGAGGACTTGGGGAGAGGCTGTGCCCCCCTCTAATGATTGCCTGTGCTAGGGGTAGGGGGTAGTGTGTGAAATGGGCAGTTTCCTTATCTCTTGGAAGGTTGGAAGGTAGTTTGAAGTCCCCATTGTGCCTGCAGGATCTTTTTTATGTCATCAGTTTGGTCAATGCTGGAGGTGCCCTAAGGGACCTTCTATCCACTTGGCTGCAAATATTGGTAGGTTTATTACAGAGATGGGGGAATTGACTGATTGATAGCTTCAGTTGGACTGGTATTGAGAGAGGTGTGGTTGTGAGTTATAATTGAGGTCTTGGCCTCTTGTCACTGTTCATAATCCAGGCCTGTTTTTGTAAACAATAGGCCACTGGCCACGGTGTCCTGTCCAGATGCACTGCATTTTGCTCTTGGAATCCCCCCTGCAGTTTTAGCCAGAAATGTCATTCTTTTTTTTTTTTTCTGCATCCTATTCTTAACTGTTGCCATAGGGAGTGTTAATAACTTTGACTTCCTCAGATTTTTTTTTAGAAGCACACCATTTTTTTTTTCTTGGAAGGTTCAGGGCTGATAAGTGTTAATAGAATCTGCCAGTTTTTTATTGGTAAAGATTTCTCATGAATGTCACAAAATTAAACACTTCATATATTTACAAACATTGCTTGTTGAGATGATGTAGTACAGTCAGCTGTTTGGGGTTTCTCTTCAACCTTGCCACAAGCTAGAGACTGTTCTGCTTTGCTTTGACATTTTTCCATGGACACTGTTGAGAATCATAGAATTTTATAGGTGGCTGACCATGATGTCTTTCTCAGAAAAGGTGTCCCATGAATGTTACTGGAAGTGATTTGAATGGTTTAATCCATCATTTTCCAGCTGAGGAAAGAACAGAGAACTGAAGAGCTTGTCCAAGGTCACACAGCTAGGTGGTAGTAGATCTGAAGCTAAAGCTGGTTTACTGACTCCCAGTTTCCAATTTTATATTTTTACTATGAAACATCATCTGACCAGGGTGGGAAAAAAAATTCTTAAGGAGTCAAAATCTGTCAATGAAAATGGTAGTGATATGATAATAGCTTACATTTTGAGTGCTCATTATGCTCTATCTTGTCCCAAGTGCTGAGTGGTCTGGCTTAATACTGGCATCAATCCAGGAAGTGGGTATTATTGTCACCTTCCATTCACCACATGAGGAAACAGGCTTAGAAAAGGTAAGAAGCCCTTCCAGGGTCACATAGCCAAACGGAGACAGCTTGACTTCACTTTTTTATTCATCAACTGTTATACTGAGTGCCTAGTATCTGTTCCGGAGCCTGGTGATACAGCTGGGAAGAAGATAGAAATTCTGTCCTCAAGGTGCCTTCATTCTAGAATCTGAGCTCCCTGTGGAAAGGCACAGAATTTGCCAACAAAGGGCCTGGATTCAGAGTTGGCTCTGTGCCCCTACCTAGAAGCCCACTGTCACAGCTGGATGTACCCTGAAGCCCTTCTGAGGCTGCCACCCCAGCCCTACCCTCGTGTGGTTTTATGAGGGGCATGCCCCCGAGACAGCCTGCTGTGTAGCAGCCTTTTTAAAATCATTGTTGTTTTTGGTTTATGGGTGTTCAGATTCTTTTGAAAGTTTTTGCCTCTCAGTGTTGGACTCCACAGGACTTACGTTCTTAGTGTTTTTACATAGATTTTTCCAACTGACAGAGCACTTTCATATACATTAATTTCTGAAAATTCTTGACAATCTTGATCAGATTTTTGGTCAGAACCTGGAGGTTTGGCTTCTAGCCTGTTAGCATCTTTGCTGGTACTTGAGCAGTGAAAGGGTGGTGAGGTGTAG